AAGAGATGTCGTGTTTGATGAAAATCGATTTCCATACGCTCCTATACATACTCCACCTTCCGTCCCTTCTGGCTCAGAACCAGTTCTGTTTCCCCAGTCTGAACCGACAGTTACTAATGATCACATGAGCAGATATGACTTATCTATTTTGTTAGCTAACAATTGTGATGCAGATAATATATTAAAAGATAAATCATATTGTTTAATTAAGACTAAACTGCATAAATGGTCCCTGTGGTATGTCGAAAATTGCCACTTTGGTCCAAAAAAGTTTGGACTTGCACCAGAAGTCCAAAGTTTTCATTTTGTTGCTTGTTTGGTCCAACCTGTTCTGATTTTTTTCAAAATGACATATTTACCCCTGTTGATATAATTTCTCTTTTTTTTCTTATTTGTTTTTTCTGAATTTCAGGTTTAAAAAAACAAGAAAATAAAATTAAAAATAAATATCTATCTCTCTCTCTCTCTCCCTCTCTCTCTCTTTCTCTCTCTCTCTCTCTCTCTCTCTCTCTCTCTCTCTCTCTCTCCTATTTATAATATTATAATAACTAAAAAAGAAAATCAACCCCACCTGCACTTCCCCTTTTCATACCTCTCTCTCCCTCCTTTCTGAACTTTCACAAAAAGAAACTAACACCGCCTCCATCACCAACTTTCAGCGATTCAAGGTTCCGACCACCACAAATTTATTTTCAGTCGGAGCAACACCACCTATCTATTTCTTTATCTCTCTCAGCAGAATCGTAACTCAATGAAGATAGTAATCCAAAGAGTATATGGCGTGGCCAGAAAAAGAATGGAGATACAGAAGGAGGAGGCGATGTATTAAAGAAGACGAAGGGCGTAGAAGATGTGAAAACTTATATCAACGTCGAAGGTGGCTTCAACCTTCAGTAGGCCCGATTTGAAAACCTAGATAAATGTCGTCATCTTCACACCTCGACGAAGGCTTTGTCTGGAAACTTGAGCCATAAGCATCGCCTCCGTTTCTGTCTTCTTCTCCGGCGAGTATTGTCTATCTCAGATCCTTTTTCTTCGAAGAAACCCTCTGTCGCCGTCGTTCGTCTTCGCCGAAAACCCTAATCCATATGAGATAAGGCGGCGGCGCTAGGGTTTCGGAAGTTGGTGATGGTTTTTGTCGAAAATGGGGGGTAAGGAGATGGTTTTCAATGGAGAAGACGAACCATGAAAGTGAGAAGATGGTCTCCAGTTGTGGGAATCGGTTATGGTTTTTTGTAGGTAATGTTGGCTTTCAAATCTATCGAAGGTTGGTGGTGGTGGAGACGATAGGGGATGAAGGCAGCGGTGGCTAACGGCGACGACGGTGGTGGAGTCGACGATCAAGGGTACTTGACGACCACGAAGAACAAACAAAGAGGGAAGGAGAAATAATGGGGAGAGAGAGAGAGAGAGAGAGATTTATTTTTATTTTCTTGTTTTTTTAAATCTGAAATTCAAAAAAAAAACAAATAAGAAAAAAGAGAAATCAAATTAACAGGGGTAAATATGTCATTTTGAAAAAAATTAGAATAGGTTGGACCAAACAAGCAACAAAATGAAAACTTTGGACTTATGGTGCAAGTCCAAACTTTTTTGGACCAAAGTGGCAATTTTCGACATACCACAGGGACCATTTGTGCAGTTTAGTCTTTAATTAATATTAATCAAGAATTAATTTAAAATTAATTTTACGGTCAAAAGAGATTAATTAAACTTAGGGGACTGAAATTGCAATTATAAGATAATTGGTTTTTGGGCTGCAGATTCCTTAGGAATAAGGTGGACGAATTCATGGTGGAAGCCCACTAAGAGATTGTCTAGGCCTTGATTCTGGAAGGAACCCTAAGGCTCCCAAAATTCGGCCCAATGCTTCCCAAGAGTGCCTTGGATGAATTTTGTGCATCCTCCTCCCTCTCTAAAGTCATCTTGTTGCTTGTGGTGTTTGTGACTCCATTAGAGGTGCAACACTTGGGGCACTAAGCTTTCAGAAGTTAAGATCAAGAAGGTTTGTGATTGTTATTACTACATAACAATCAAGGTAAGATCTAAACCCTAATCATACGTGATTTTCGGATTTTATATGCTAGTTTTAGGGTTTATTGCTTTGGTATTCAATGTTGTATGTTCAATTTAGCACTACTAGAAAACAGCCCTTTAATGACGCGTAAACAATGACACTCGCTGATAAAGGACGCGCATTTGTGCGTGCCCTAAAAATTAATGTCAGTTTTGCAAAATTTGAAGGATAGAGGACACTCATTTGTACGCGCCCCAAAAAATAGTGTCCAACAAAATAAATTAAAAACACGGAGGGCACCTATCATAAAAAAGCGTATCGTCTAAAACCTTCGCTTTATATTTTTCTTTATGAACGCGCGTTCTCCATTTTTTTAATTGCCAAGGGGGGAATGAATTCCAAAAAATAAAAAAACCCCGCCTTGATACTCTCGTCCTTCTTCTTCTTCTTCGTATGTTGTAAAATCCTCTTCAATCAAAAGAAACCATAAAAGCATTGTGTGTAAAAGATCGATAATTTCATACTTGAAGTTCCTAAAATCTTCATCGATCAAAAGAAACCCTAAAACCCCGCCTCATACTTGAAGTTCCTGTAAGTGTTTTTTTATTTATTTATCGTATTATGTTCTGCAATAATCTAATTCCTCAACGACGTTGAGGAGGGGTTATTTCCATTGGTCTGTACTCTATCCCAGTGCATTATTCAACTCAAGATCCATCTGTGTTGGTTGGACTGGTAGTAGAGGGGCAAAGATGTCTAGGCCCACGACCGAGAATCAGAAGATCCAAAGCGTGTTAACCAACTTAAACCCTGATCAATGTTTCTATGGGTTTCCTTCATCAACAGCGTCTCAAGTTCTTCAGCGGGATCAAAGGGTACGCTCGCATAATAGAACAGAATGGAAAGAGAGACGCAAAAAAGGAATTACGTGGGGTTTAATCGACATTCTTCTTTGTGAAAACATACAAGAGGTACCAAATTCCATTCTTTGATTTCGAAGGTGTGCTCAGACAAAGATTACGTGCTCAAGACAACGATCACAGTCCCCTTTTCACCCAAGTAGCTTAATTTTCACTCTTTATTAAATCTCGCCATCCCTATCTCAGTCTAAAAAACCCGAGCCCCTCTCCTTTTTCTTCCTGTTCTCTCTAAAACCCCTCACGATCAAAGCCATCTTACGTCTCCACTTTCGTTTATAACCTGAGATTTTGAGGTAAAAACCTTTTCAATTTTGTCACGTTTTTTTTATTGAAGCATGGAAGGAAAGAAAATCAACTGGATCGATGTTCTAGGTGTGAAGATTGAAATACCTTATTTTTACAGTTTCAAGAATACAGATAACTCACTGTGCATTTTATTTTGGATCATCATCATGTTTTATTAAAGTGAAGATGTTTTTGGTTGTTGTAGGTGTGTTACCAGAAGATCATTGAAAACAGTTTTGAGTTCTTGGACCTTGTTCACCAAGGTGAAAGTAACAGGGCAATAAGAAGTTTTAGTGAAGTTGAATTGAACAAGGATTGAAAGTTGAAATTTGACGTCACCATTTTAACATGTTTGTGGTAGCAACCGAGACTTTAGCTTTTAGATGTCTAGAAGTTCATGTTGTGAAAGGTCTAGTTATGAGTTTTAGCTAAATTTCAAGGTATATGTCTGATTTTGTTTAATGACCATTTTGCCCTTTAGTTGTAGGTCATGTACGAGGTGTTCAGCCTGTTCTGTCTGCTAAGTTGCCTATCCTTAAGGTTATTGATGCTGGAAGTGGTGTTGAATGTGACCTTTCAGTTGAAAATAGAGACGGAATTTCAAAGTCAGCTATAATTCGCTTGATGACAGATTCCAAAAGCTAAGTTTCTTGGTAAGCTTATTTAATCTGCTACATGGATTAAATTATCCTAGTAAATGGAAGGTTTTAATACCTTGAAATTGTAGCTTATTAATATGTATTAAGGATAAAATTTGACTACTAATGATAAAATCTATCTACGCAGATGAAAGCATGGACAAAAAAAGCACATGATATTAACAGTTCAAAGATCGAACTCTTAACTCTTTATCCATAATATTATTGGTTGCTTTTCATATATAGGTTTGTTTTTATATTGCTTAATACTGAAAGAAAGTCATCTTTTGTATTTCTTATTTATATTACTTTTGAACTGTTCAAAAATTGATCTTATAATTATTCTTTGGTTGCAGAATCGAGACCCTCCTATATTACCTCCATTTTCCGAGATATTAAAAGGTAATACTTAATTAAGGATGTAAAACTAGTTAATTAGTATTAAGAACTTGTCTTATACAATGAAACTTAATTGATGTTTGACTACAAGTCAAGCCTTAAATGAAAAGGGAGTATAGGATTCTTATGAGTTTTTTTTAACATATTATGTAGTTACAAGTCAAGCCTTAAATGTAAAACTAGTTAATTAGTATTCAGATTGTGCTTTCTGGAAAACCAGTGCATAAACTTCCAGCAACATCTGGTGTAAACCAAACTGATAATTATGCCCAACGTGAGTTTCCTTTTTTTTCAACGCATTGAGGATACAGATGAAGAATTCCTTTCACTAATATTCAATAATACCTTAAGTACCCATAAATACGACAAAAACCGAAAGCCTTTTTTGGCATCAATACTAATATGCATTTAAGATTAGAAGCATATGATATATAACCTACAAGTTGTTACATACCAAAGTTACCTAAATATGGGGTTATATTTTTTAATATATCTGAATCAGAAGGCAGAAAGGGTGAACCAGGATAGTTTCCAAGAGCCCCTAGATCTGAAAAAACAAAACAACATCATATTTGCTAGTTTAATTATCAATCATTTAAACAAGGGAGATGAATAAAGATGGTATCTTTAGCTGTTACATATTGCTATTATTGGTATAATACAAAAATGTTAGTACGTTTGTTTCTATTATGATATTTATGAGCAAGGTGTAAAGAAACTGTATGTATGTTGGTATATGGGTTAGCATTGCCATCCATTACCATACTCCTGCAACAACACATGGGAAAAACTTTCTTTTTATCTTTTTTTTATTAATTCATCAGATCAAAATATAATAAGAGTTCATTCGTATGGGATGAAAGTTACTGGGAGCAGGGACTCCATTGACCACATGACAGCTAGACATACCCATGGAATCCATATGAGGCTGACCTGGATTCCCCATTGGAGGTTGTTGTAGAACTGGTTATCCCATGGGTAAGTTGTTAACTGCACTGAAAAGAGTAATATTGAATAATAATTCTTCACTTTGTAAAAAATACAACTTCTTTCTTTGTAGCAAGAGATTACCATACCCCATTGTGTATGGGACCCACAGGTAGCTTTGGAGGCATTGGAAGGTGATATTGATGCTCGAGTAAATGATTGAAAAGGATGATCTGCTTCTTCAATTTTAACCTTATGTAGTAGGCTCTGAAAAAATCTGCATTCTCTTCTTCTAACTTCTGCCAAACTATCCAACAAAAAAGGAAAGACAACGTAAAAATAATAATAATAACATAGCAGTGATTACCAAGAGTTGTAAAACCAGGATCTATACGTCCGTGCATGATTTAATAGAGTTTTTTTTTTTTTTTTTTTTTTTTTTTTTTTTTATCACCTCATCCCTATTCATATACAACTGCAAACAAGCGTTCTATCAAGTTTTGAACCTGCAACATTCAAGATTTATATCAACATACACCAAATCTTGACTTGTCTGTAATACTACAAGAAAGAAAGAAGAACAAATTCCCTTACAAGTTCAATATCCTCCCTGGAAACTTTTCTGTTGTCATTGCTGGAGATGGAAACCAAACCAGAGTCAGGAACAAGAGTTTCTGTTCCATTATTATTTTGATCACTTTGAGACTCGTGTTTAGTTTCCGGTGTGTCCATTTTTTATATGATTTTGAATTAAATTTAATATTTTGTTACTCAGAAGCTCAAAGACATGACTTAAGGTCATACTTGGATTATGTTGGGTATTTATATCAGAAAATGGAACCCCTTCTTGAACAAGAATGATTTGAGGTGAGGTGTCCATTATTAATCCAATAATTCATTTTTATAAAAATTATAATATGATATATTGTTGATATCATAAATTTTTATGCAGCTTGGGTACAGGGATTTTCTACCATCTCCCTTACAAGTAAGTTGTTTTTGCATATTTGTATTTTCAATTTCTATTTCTCTTTATTGTCTATTCTAATGACATGATATGTTGGTTGAGTAGCTTTACAATCACATGCTCCTCCAGCATCCCTTTTTGCATCAATGAACTTTCTGTTTGCTGAGTCACTAAACATTAGGTGATAAAAAGTAAGTAGATCTTTTTATAAACCCATTTTCTCTCTCTCTCTCTCTCTCTCTCTCTATATATATATATATATATATATATTGACTATATGGCTTACAAAGTTAGAGAGATGACCAAGCTGACATGGCAGCATTCTTTTCAGCTTGTTTCTTATTCTTGGCTGGTTCACTTGTAAAGGTACAACCAGCTAATTCTACAGTGCATGTGAACACGGGCAAATGCCCCAGGCCTGACCTAAAAATATAAATATACTGGCTTGAAAGCATAAAAGGTATAGGGCCCTAAAAGAGCTTAATTAGAGATCTGAGTTGATTCAAAGAGCTTAATTAGACGCTTCATCTGCAGGTGGTTCACAAGGACTAGATGGAGAAGAACAAAAGATGATATTTTTCTAGATGTTACAATTACATCTACTTTACTACCTTTTACATGAAATTTTACATTCTGAATGCTTCTCTATACGAGTATATATATATATATATATATATATATATATATATATATATATATATATATATATATATATATAAATGACATGTATACATACTCCTGAAATTTCCTATATTTGGCTGAAAACATGCAGACAAACTAATTTGACATATTAGTGCCTTGCAGCCTCTCAAAGTTCCTGCATTCATATTATTTATTTAGAAAGGAAATTGTCAAAGGAGAATTTAGTCATGGGTTTCTTTTAATGTTGTACATGTTTTGTTTTCTATAATAAATATTATACAATATTAGCAATGTGTTACATTTACTTACTATTGGAATGATTATTTGTATTTGATATATTAGTGCAATGAATTATCTTTATTGTTTATGGTATTTTATTTTATATTATGAGACTAGTAATGTGTTATTTAATTTGAAAATTAGTAAATCTATCAAAAATATATAATTTTAAAAACATTTAAAAATATGACACGCAAAAAGGTGGGTCATCTTCATTTATGACAGGGTCTTCCTTGATACGCGTTGTGTGTCATAAACACGTGCGTCGTAAGGTTACGACACACAAATGCGTGTCGTCTTCCTTTATGACAGGGTCTTCCTTGATACGCATTGCGTGTCATAAAGGCGCGTTGTAAATGCGCGTCGTAAATGAGCGTCGTCTCTCTTTATGACAGGGCCTTCCTTGACGCGCATTTGCGCGTCGTCTGAACGTTTTACGACGTGCAATGAGCGTTGTAAAAGGCTGCTTTTCTAGTAGTGTAGAAAACCTAGATCAAAGCAATTAGGGTTGCATGAACACCATAGGAATGATGTTATGCTAATAATCCATCAAGTTTGTCTCTCCAAAAGAGCCCTTGTGGAGAGAAGGGTGACTCCAACATATATAACCTGTTATAAGACCGTGTCGCACCGATGTGAGATACACTAACAATTAGTTCAAATTACACAAAATATCTGGTAACACTAAAATCTCTAACAAAAAATCATGTATAGAGTTTCTTTTAGACAAAATTGCAAATTTGGTCCCTGTGGTATGTTCAAACTAGCATGTTTGGTCCAAAATGGGTTTGGCTTGCAAAGATGGTCCAATAGTTTCTATTTGTTGCGAGTTTAGTCCAATGGCTTAACAGTCGTTACCAAGCTCCCGTTAATTTACCCATGCCCCTCTCACTTAAGGGTATTTTAGTCCATTCATCTAGCCCCTTTATTATTTTATTATTATTTAGTCCATAAAGAGACTACAACGTCTCTATTCTCGTCTCCAGCAACAAGCCCTAACTATCACTCCCTCTCTGATTTCATCTTCTCCATCGATCACCCCCCTGTGATTTCATCTTCTCCATCCACAATGGTGATGTGCGTCTGCAGAAAGTGGGCGATAGTTCGGACATCGTGGACAGATAACAACCTAGGGCGCCGATTTTGGGGATGTCCTGACCCGGTAAGTGTGTTAAACTTTATTTTGAAGACTACTCCCTGATGATCTAATGTTTCTTTCTTCTTTTTTTTAAGAATTCATCATGTGGGTTTATTGGGTGGTATGATGAACCCATGTGTGCTCGTTCCAAAGTTATAATACCAGGGCTGCTTAGGACAATCAATAAGCTACGAAAAGCAATGGATGATATAAAAGAACAAGCAAGCAAGCATGAAAAAGCAATGGAGAAGATCAAAGAACAAGCAACTATGTTGAAGTATTACCTAGTCTATAGTTGGATTTTTTTGTTGTTGTGTTGCTGTTCTTGTTGTAAGTCCACAGGTTGATTGTGGTTATCTTTTGTAATAGGATATGGGTATATGTGTCTGGTTTAAGTATTTTTTTGCTAATGTGGAACATTGTTGTAATGCAAAGTAATGGTTAATGAAAATTTGGTATCTATTGACCAATTATGGATTTGTTCTATTGTTCATACATAACCTTCTAAAGATAACATATAATGCATCCATATGTAGTTAACACAAAAGCATACTAAAGACATAATACCTATTACCATCTTCAAAATACATGTCATAAGTTAATTGAAAACAAAGTTATTGCAACAAAAGACATCCTGCATCTAGGAATCAAACCAAAGTTGTTCAATACAGTTAAACCAAAAGATAAAACCAACATAGACAATCAAGTCCCTCCCTGACCTTTGCATGTCCTGGAGTTGTGCCCTTTGTTTCCACACTTACTACAAGTCACACTAACAAACTTTCTTGTTAGTTTCCCACTACCATGTGGACCATGACCATGAATCTCACTGGGACCAACATCTGACCTTTGACTCTGACTTTGACTCTTGCTTTGACTTTTCTCCTCCATGGATTGCCTTCTCTTCCTCTTGGGTCTCCCAGGTTGATTACGGTGTGGGGGAGGTGTGATCTGCATTGGACACTCACTTCTAGGCCACAATGCCCGACCTTTAATTGGTTCCACCTTGTACCCATATGCAGTTTTCCAAGTTTGTAGCCAGTGCACCTTGTGGACATAAGTATGGAGCTCTTGTACACACTCACCATGATCTGCTTTGTTATAAAACACAGAAATCACATGTCTGCAAGGGATACCTGTTAATTCCCATTTCCTGCAGCTGCATACCCTTTCATGCATATCAACAACATGTTGATCATTCCATGGGCCTTTGACTTGGTATTTTTCATCACCACACCATTCTGCAATGTACTGAGTAGCAGCTGCTTCATTCTTCTCCATGATCTTTGTTGCTGTTGGGGTGAGTGGGCCTAAACACTTTTGTTGCACCTTGAGGACATTGCATATCCTCTTCATCATATATTCCCTAATAAACTCCAAGTAGCTAATAATTGGTTTGTCTCTCCCATCAACTAGCTTGCCATTAAATACCTCACAAAGGTTGTTTAACAGCATGTCTGTGGTTGCTCTCCCTGTATAGAAAAGGGTAAAAGTGTCATAATGTTATGTGAAGGGTAAAATGGTAAAAGGGTAAAATGGTCATAGTAGCTTACCTGTGAAATGGCTTTTTGCCCAATGTTGTGGTGGTATTGACTTCAACCATTCATATGCTGATTTGTCATATAAACTGAATTGGTGCATGAAATGGTTAAACTCTGGCACTGTTGTAGCTGTGGCACAATCCCAAAGGTGATCTTTATATTCCTTAGTTCTCCATTGTTTCTTCATGTTCTCATGTATATGTCTGAGACAGAACCTATGCTCAGCACATGGGAACAGTTGACTAACTGCTTGTAGCAAACCCTGGCAACAAATTACACATGATTAACAAAATAAACATTAAAAATAATAAATAAACAACCATTACCTTTTGTCTGTCACTAACAAAAGTGAAATTAGACATAGCATGTAGATCCAAGTCATCACCAAGACATTCAAGGAACCACTTCCAAGATTCGCAGTTTTCAATCTCTACGATGGCATATGCAAGTGGGTATATGCCATTCTTGGAATCTAATCCAACTGCAGTTAAGATCTGGCTTGGATAAGGGCCTTTCATATGAGCCCCATCTAGCCCCAAGAAATCTCTTAAACAAGCTTTGAATCCCTTCTTCATCCCCCCTAGACAAACATAAATTCTTTTGAAACATCTTGAAGTGCAATTCACCAAATTAGATTCTGAAACATCTCCAAGTTCTAATTTGACTATGGTATCAGGATTGGTTGACTGCAACTCAAGGATATAGTCTCTCAGAACTTCATACTGTTTTTTGTAATCACCCACTACAATCTTTTTTGCATCTGCTTTAGCTCTAAAAACTTTATGGATTGAGAAGCCCACTCCATACTTCTTCTGTAATTGTTCTTGGAGAGCTTTAACTGGGATAGTAGGGTTGGATTCTACTTGATCCATGATTTGTTTGGACATAAACTTCGCTGTTGCAGCTCTCACCTTCCTTGTATTCATACAAGTGTGTTTGTCTTCATATGTTTTAATGTACCAGCTGCTTGCATCTGTAGACCTCGAGGCATGTAACATCCAAGGACAAGAAGAATCTGCTTTTTCCTGACTTGTACCACCTTGTTTGTCCTTTTCTTTACTTTTCCCTTTAATTTTCCCTTTACTTTTTTCAGCTTGGGTAGGTCCACCAACTCCATCATTAGTAAATGCCACAACTCCATTACATATGGCCCTCAATCTGGATTTGTCATTTTTTTTAAATGCAATATTCTTTTTTGTTTCCAATGCATGCATTTTGATTTTCTCTTTCAACTCCTGCTTACTGTTATACTTTTGACCTATTTTAAAATGACACTTATGAACCTCACCTAAAGAACAACTTTTTTCCTTACTTAGTTGTTTCAAAACTGCTCTTCTCTTCCTGTCCTGGTCAGAATCCTCATCCATGGAATCAAAAGCATCATTGTCAATGACATCTAACTCATCTGCTTCTTCATCACTCTCATGTTGTCTAGGATTCCTAGCCCTTTTATCTAAGAACTCTACTTCTGTATCAATGCTCATGTTAAAATCCCTCATATCAACTTCAATATCTTCAATTACATTATCTTCATCCACCCAATAATCACTATCATCACTATCATCTTCCTGCTCTGTTTCACTTCTTTCTTTACTTTCAACCTCACTTACATTTTCTTTTCCACTACTATCCATGTTAGACTGAGGTTGGTTTTCACTTCCATCTTGGACAAAAGCATCAGTTTGATAGTCAAAATCCCAAAAGTCATTCATTTGAGGTTGGTTTTCTTCATCCATCTGAGCTTGGTTTTCTTCATCCATTTGAGGTTGGATTTCTTCATCCATCTGAGGTTCATTGACATCATGCATGTCAGTGCCATTGACTCCATCAACATTGCTTTGTAGTATTTGTTGGTAGAGTCCAATATCAAAATCAGTAGCTGCCTCAACAAAGTCTTTGGCTATCTGTTCAGTCTCACCAATATCATCAAAGTATATTTTCTTACTGCAAGATGCCATCACTCCATCCTTGCTCATACCCCTTCTCCTATTATATCCAGGTGATAAGGATACGACTTGAACTATTTCATTAACTTGGATTTCAGGTTGGTTTGCTTGAGTGGGCACCACATCAACTAAATTATCAGTAGGTGTAGTCATCACAGGTGTTTCCTTTGATTGGTCATCAGGAGCTTCATCAATGTGTTGCACATCCTCATGTGGTTCATCTAACTGTACAAGGGTAACCTTGGTAACAGGCTTAGGATTCAAGAAATAGGTGAGTAGTCTTGTTTCACCATGCTCTGTGTATACCTTCATCACTTTGTGCTCACTGACATATTGAGAAAAGTTTGCAACATCTTGATCATTTCCTAAAGGGCGAAGACCAAAGTGGAAGTCTCCACCAGGCACAAGAAAATGGTAGTATATAACAGGAGGAACCCCATATCTAAAACCCTTCATGATTGCATCGAGCTCATGAACTGAAAACTCATCTATGTCTACCATGTCAACATAGTTTACAGTTCCATCAATGTAACGAACATCAGGGTACTTGGTGAACTCACCTCCATGGTACAACTTAATGGTAAACAATGTTGGGTGTCCATCTTCAAAACAAGAAAAAAAACACCTCAGTTGGACTTACTTAAAAAAATCAAGAAATCAAAAGATGAAAAAGGGCAAATTACGTACCATAAACAACCTTGGGGTTGAAGGGTGTGTTTAAAACCTTACGTGCCACATTGTTATGTTCATCCACCGATAATCTCTACAAATCGCAGCTTAACTAACAGAACTGATTTTGTGTCTAGGGCTTTTATTGATCTTGGTAAAGAACGACGGTCTACTTTATTGAGGAGGAGACGAACTGCTTTTATTGAGCTTTAGCGGGAACGGTTACAGGGATTAATGGACTAAAATACCCTTAAGTGAGAGGGGCATGGGTAAATTAACGGGAGCTTGGTAACGGCTG